AAAAAAATATATATATAGCCCGCAAATTGTCTGTGAGCTGATTTCCTGATTTGTGAGCTACAAGGAGAGAAAGAAAAACAGATTGTGCAGGAGGGAGATGCAGGGAACAGGGATTGGGTGTTCTGCAAAGACAGTTGCAGGTAAATAATTTTGCAGTAACTGTTATGCTGATGTTGTGGCTGGGGGAGGCAATGTTTGTGGTTGTGGTCTCTCATTGGCTGTTGGTCATCGCCGATGTGTTTTTCAGTCAGAACTCATTTCACACAGCAGGATTGTGAATCGCCAACGGCTCCAGATATTTAGCATGCCAAATATTTCGCGGGTGTCGGCGATTCCCTCAGATCGCGTCTTTGATAATTCACACTGCGTGATTGTCACTCGCGTGAACGAGCACCGATTTGCCTCTGATTTCAGGCATTTGTCGGCGATTTCGCAAAACCTGTTGGCGAGTGAAAAATCGGGCTAAAATCGTGCAGTGTGAACTCGGCATAAGGCTGTGGCTGCAGTCAGTTGTAGTTCTTGTGTTTCTCTTTTCTTCAGTGATTCGGCTTGTTAACAGCAGGTGTTTATTACTAATGATCAATCAGCATTTAATTAATCACATAATTATCTTATTAACTTTAACACTGCTTCAGTGTTACTTTAACACTCTTTTAGAGCATACGGCATCAACACAGTATGGTGAGGGGCGTCACATTTCCGTCTCACGCTTGAGGTATTCGGCCAATCACAACGCACTGGATAGCTGGCCAATCACAGCACACCTCGCTTTTCAGACCGATGAGCTTTGTAAAAATCGACACGTTTTTAAAAAGGCGGGGCATAGAGGAGAAACAATAATGTACACTATGTGGAAAATAATGTGTTTTTTTAACTTTAAACCGCATAAACATTTAATTACACCAAATACACAAAATAATGTTCTTTTTAGCAACATCATATGACCCCTTTAACACAGTAAATAATGCATGCCTTGTGCCACTTCCAGGGACTTTTCAAATTTTTCAACCAGACGGAACTGAATTATATATTTGGACTGCATTTGTTGTTGACCAGAGGAGAACTGGCCCCCCGACTGAGCCTGGTTTCTCCCAAGTTTTTTTTTTTTTCATTCTGTCACCTGATGGAGTTTGGGTTTCTTGCCACTTGGGTCTTGGGTTTCTTGGGTTTCTCAGGCTTGCTCCGTTAGAGACACATATTCAACTATACTATCATATGAGAACTGAACTGAGCTGGATGATGACATCACCGTTCTCTACAGAGCTGCTGTATAGATGAAATTAACTAATGAACTGGTGAACAATGACTAAATTGACAAAAAATGCATACATTTCCTGTTACCACTGTAAAGCTGCTTTGAAAGTTTTGTATTGTAAAAAGTGCTATATAAATAAATGTAAATGTGATGTAATTCAGGTAATTCATCTTTATCTAAGGATGTATTCACACATGTCTTGTTTGGTCCGATTGAATTGAACTCAAGTTCATTTCGCCCCTTGGTGCGGATCTTTTGGCCAGGTGTGAATACAGCAATCGCACTAGGGGTGCGGACCAAACAGCCATACCGAGATCCAGCTGAAGAGGTGGTCTCAGTCCAGTTCCAAAGGAATTTTGGTATGGTTCGTTTAAAGGTGTGAACATGATCCGACCTAATTGCAGAAAGCAATGATTAACATGAATGACAGACAGGAGGAATTTAGGCAGCTTCCTCTAAGACCGAAGGTCCAGATCCAAAACACTGTTATACAGTATGTGTTTTCTTTATCAGCTGTTTACTTTCATTTAAAACCTAAACGACTGTTTATGAAGATACTTGCAAAGATGGGCATAGAAGTGTGTGTATCCGTTTAAGGCAAATAAAGCAGCAAAAATACTCACGCGTTCAATGAGCACGCGCTTCATGTGCACATCCTACACGCACCTCTCATGTAACGCTCAGAAACAAACAGCTCGCAAATATAGTGCTGTTGTTTGCGTTTCAGTTGCTTAAATCGCTTGTTTTGTTGAGAATTTCTGTCCAATGAATGGATGACCTTAGCACACGTGTGGTTTTGTTTACAATTTCTGGTTCACTTCAAAAAGGGCAGTGTGAAAGCGAACCACACCAAACAAAACAAAACAAAATAAATCTTCATCATATTTGGTCCACACCAAAGCAAGTGAACTAGTGGACTTTCCTGGTGTGAATACACCCTTAATGAATCTGGAGAGGTGCTTAAATTTATAAATTAAAATTAAGCACCAAACATAGCTGGACTGGTAACATTTTTGTGTCATTTTTACAATCTGCAACTAGACGGATGTACTGTTACTTCCTCTACAGTCAAAAATCTGGGTGTTATATTAGATAGCAACTTGTCTTTTGAAAATCATATTTCCCATGTTACAAAAACAGCATTCTTC